GCTGTGGGGTGGTTGGGGGCGCGGGTGGCAGCCAGCCGGAAGTGGCAGGAGGTAAGAGCTATGAGGGAAGGTGAGACAGGAGGATTTCCTCTCATTATTTATTCCCTTTCACTCGGCAATCAGGCAGCGAGCACTGCCGAGCTCTCCCCGCTGGCTCCGGGACCCTTTGAAGCCAGCGGCTGCCTGAGCTCTTTGTCTGGATGCGCAGCTCCCGCTCAGCCCCGCGCATCCAGGCCAGGCGAGGGCAGGGTGCTCAGCACAGCACCCCACACGTGTAGGTCAGCCCCGAGCGCAACCTGGGGCCCACATCCCCTCCCAGAAACCTGGGGCTGCCCACGCCATGGGACAGGGCTGGAGCAGGGATGGGGAGAGCCCAGGGGGAGAGTCTCCAGCCAAACGCTCTGTTCCCCAGGGAGGAGCGGCGAAGCATGGCCAAGGAGACGGGGATTTATGTCCTGCTTAGCACAAGGTGCTGGGAGCTTGGAAGACCAGAGGCCTTTAAGAAGCCCTGCTGTGGCATGCTTTACAACCTACAGAAGCAGCCGCTGGCCTGGGTGAGCGCGGCTGCTTTATTAAAAAACATGCTGAGGAGCCCTTCAGTGTCAGCTCTGGGCCGTTAGCTTTTACAGCTCTGCAGCTCTCCTCTTGCGCTCGGGGAGGATTCCAGCAACCTCTCTCCTCTACTTCTGCCAGCCCCGGGGGCTGCCGAGCCCCAGCTGCCGCACATGGCATCCCACAGCACCTCGGTCGCACCCCACGCGCGGTGGCAGTGGTCCGCCACCGGCCCCCAGCCCCATCAGGAGCTGCTCCTGGCATCATCTCCCCCGCCTCACTGCCAGGCTGGGGACACATCCTCCTCCTCCTCCTGATTGGGGGGCAGGCAGGCGGCTGAAGGACACGGTGGCCCCCCCAGATCACAGATGGGCCATGGGCAAGTTTGGGACTGGCGCAGCGCAGGCTGTTTGCATTCAGGCAGCTTGAGGGTAGTAGGGTAGGACCCGGGTAGGGTGCCCAGGTCTCGGCCTCCCCTGTTCAGTCACGCAGGGGCACTGCCCGCACCGTGCCAGCCCCATGCCGTTACCTCCCCGCCTGCACCGCACCACATCCAGCCCTGCGGGAAGCCGCCACCCCCGGGCACGTGACCACATCTCAGTGAGCCCGGTAGGTCTGTCCCCAGCCTTCTGCTTTCCAGGCTGCACCCAGGGCCGTGGGGAAACCTGGCTGCCAGCTCTTCAGGCGGCACCGTCCTACCTTGGCAGGTGAAGCAGCGGATGTGGAAGTGATTGCTCTGGACACGCACCACCTCGCCCTTGCAGGTGTCCCCGCAGCGGTAGCACTGGATGACGGTGGAGCTGCTCCCGGGGGTGTAGGGGTTTTGCTGATAGGGAACTGCTGGCAGAAAGGAGGAAGGGAAAAGCGAGAGAGGGGAAGGGTCTGTTAGCATTCAGGACACAGCCAGGCGTCGCGGCACCGGCCTCAGCTGGGCAGCCGCAGAAGAGCCCTCCAGCAACTGCGACACGGCAGCTGGACATCAGGCCATCGCTAAGGGCAAAGGACGGCCGAGACCGTGCCAGCGCCCAGTGACTCCGAGCTGGGTGCGCATCCCTGTCTGGATTCGGGATTTCCCTGTCCCCACAAAAGAGCCACTACCCACGTTCGGCTCGGAGGTCTGCAGTCCTAAACGCTGTGCGGAGCACGCGCCCGGGCTGTGCTCCCTGTCCCTGCACAGACAACCAGGGCACCTGCACCATCGCCCCAAGGCCGCGCAGAGCTCCCCGGACGCTCGCCTATCTCCCAAGCAGGTGCAGAAGGACAACGCAGGGACCAGCTATCCACGGGCTCTGCTCAGCCCTCAGGCAGTCCCGGCTTGCTGCTGACCTGCTCAGAAACACGCCAGCAAGCACTGATTTGGCAGCAGCATGGGAAGGAACTCTTGTTTTTTGGAGCTTCCACTTGTTTGGTTAGGAACTGGATGAAGAAGTCATTTTTCAAGGAGCTTTCAAACATCACAGCAATTGACTGTTTGGCCCTGGCGGGACTCTCACCTCTGCAGCCAGGAGCAGCATCCCAGCCCCGCCGCTCCACCGCGGCACGTGCAGGCTCTGCGCTGAGCCAGGGGACACCGCGGAGCGGAGAACAACATGGCTCCCCAGAGCTATGGGCAAGAGCCAGCCTTCTCCTGCTGCAGTCCCCGACATCCGGGGACTCGCTGCCACTCCTCATCCACCTCCAGCAGCTCTGCAGACCGCCACGAAGGGCTGATGCTCTGCAGCCTCGCCCGATACTCCGGGGGAGGAATTGTGCAGAGCAGGGGGTCTTTCTGCTGTCCCAGCACAATCCCCAAACACACGGAGAAGGCATTTTAAAGAGCAGCTCCTGCTTTCCCTGCCCCACCTGCAGGTGCACAGGCCGCTCGCAGGCGCGCCGGGCAGGCTGACACCAGGCTACCCGCTGCAGGCAGGGGCCAAGCGGCGAAGGACTCGTTTGCTGTAAGATTTCAGAGAGAGGGTTACAGCTGGGGCAACCTGAGCAGTGAGGGGCAGGATTTCAATGGACCAGAGACTTTCTGTCCCAGTGCTGAACTGCATTCCCAGGAACAAGAGAAGCAGCTGATTGAAACCTGGTACGTGAACTCCCTCCAGAGCAGGAGGAAGGGGCACAGGACAGAGGAGATCAGTCATCGGAGAGACTCCTCGTTCACCGTGGGGCAGATCATGTGACAGGGAACAGAAACAGCCCATTATTGGCTTCAAAAGCAAAGAAGGGAAGTCAAAAAGACATTGAGACTGTCTCACAGTAAACTCCCATCCCATACGCCCAGTGCCCAGAGACATGCTCTACGGACACACGGCACTGCTCACCACTGGGAAGACGGGCCGACCCTCCCTGAGAGCTGCTCCACCCCCTGGGGCTATGGAGCCGCAAGGAAAGCCAAGGTGCCTTCCCACGAGTGCCCCCCAGCCCCCTGCAAAAGCTCAAGCTCCAGCCTTGACGTGACCTTCCAAGAGCTGCTGGGACTTCCCTCCTGACCGTGCTCGCAGGCCCAGAGGCCAGCGGAGGTACGTGAGGCACTGAAGGGAACGGCAGTGCCAACAGAGGAGCTATGAAACGGGAGTCAGGCCTGGGAGACACTCACTAGTCCGGATCTAAATCACTCTGAGGTCCCAAATACGATGAAGGACACCTGTAAAGGGAGCAGGGTACTCCCTGCTTTTGCAGCACGTTTTGCAGTGGGGTGCAAGCCCTGGGAAGAGGGGTCCAGGACCTCCTGTGGCAGCTGCTGCTGGTGGGCACCCATGAATTCAGCGGCAGCCTGGGGGGACCCAGGACAGACCCCAACAGGATCTCCTGAGGCTGGGATAAATGGGGGATCTGCTCTGCAAGGGTCTCCAGCAGAGCAAGAGTTACAGCACTGAAACTTCCTCCCACGCACCCTGTGCTCGCACCCTCGCCGAGACGGAAGCAGAAGCCAAACCCTGGGACACAGCCATGGCAATCCACAAAGCTTGGAGAGAAAAGCAGGAGGGAGGTGGGGTGAAAGGCTGGGAATTAATCAACACTTAAACAAACATTAATAATTAAAAAAAGGGAAGAAAAAAAAGATAATGTCGGAAAATGCAGGCATCGCATATTCCAGGCTTCTGGTCTCTAGGGGAAGCTTCTTGGTGTCCATAGCAACACACCACCAAGCCCATGCGCCGGCAGGTCTGATGGGAGGGAGGGCAGAGGAAAAGGAGCTGCGGGTGGAAGAGATGCTTAGAGCTGCGTTACACCGCTGGCAGAGATGAAACCGATACGGTCACTCCTATTTGTACCCAGGGAGATGGGTCAGGACCCGGCTTAGGGCACCATCGCCCCCCCGCCTGCCAGCTTTGTTCAGCACTAAGCCAAAAGCTCCCCGATTTGTGATTAACCTCCAGCCCATGCTGGAATTTTGCTCCAGGAACATTAATGCATTGTTTTGCTGGGGCTCTGCTTGTTTTTGAGCAGGCAGCTGCCCGTCTCGTGGCCTCGCGCAGGAAGTATTACACATCACAACAGCCCTGAGCAGAGGGACGGCTGAGCAGGGCAAAGCTCATTACACCAAAATAATCCAGTAATAATGTAAGTAGCATTAGTAGCCTCGCAGGCTGAGATACAGCAGTCGGGGTGAGGGGGGGAGCTGCCCAAGGAATGCCTTAATCTCACCCCAGCTTGCTCCCGCTTTTGCTTGTAGAGCAGGAAATTAAGATGGCTCCGTTCAGCAATTAACACGTTTGTGCTTGCACAATGCAGCGCAAAAGGCTGCCCAGGGCCAGGCTCCTGTGGGGCTGCCCCCGGATCCCGGCTGGCGCTTGATCCGCGGAGTCCGACGAGGCGC